ATAATCTTGTTCAGCAAAACTTTCGAAATTTTCAAACACTTTCTTCCTGTTTTCATGATGAACCTTTGCCTCCCCCCCGCCCCCAAAAGAAAATATAAAATAAAAAGGGTTAGAGAAATAAGTGGGAAACAGTTTAAAGCGCTGTTCTGGACTGTGGGAAGTCAGGGCTCAAAGTCTTTGAAACCAGGGCTTTAAATCTCACAGCTCAGAAGATTATTCTCAACACATACCTGTTGGTACTTCTGACAGTCCCTCTGACTGTGATCAGAAACTGCACCCCAGAATTTAGAAAATGAAAAAGCTGTTTAATACTTAGAAAATCCTTCAATGCAAGTCTTGGACTACAAGAGGGAAGGAGAGACCAATACGTCTGTCACAAAAATGGAACAGCCAGCGCAGAAGTAATTCTCATTCAGCAAGAGAAAGGAAAAAGGTACAACTGAATGCTGCAAAAAAGAAATTATAACATCCTGATAGCAAAAGAAAAGAAGCTACTTAGAACCCATCCTCTTGAAAAAAGGAAGGGTTTCCCCCCTCCCCTTAAAGTAGTCTCCCTCTTCCTTTCAAATCAAACAGAATTCATGGTATAGCTTGAACCTGACGTAATCTCAGCAATTTTATCAAAGATCAAGACATCAGCTGCTCTGGGAGCACACTGTAAGAAGGAGGTGCATTTTCTTGTGCATACAGTACTTTTCCAGCACCGTTTTGCAAGTGCTTCAACAGTTATTTGTGGAATTACCTATTAATTCCCTTTGTTAGTATGTAATCAAGTATGGTACTTCCTTTCCATTTGTAATTCAGAGAGAATCCAAAGCTTTCAGAACTTCATCTTCCAGCAAGATGACAGATGAACATCAAAAAAAGCACTATGTAAGATGTCCTAGTCAGGTCCAGCACTTTCCCAAAAAGCTCAGTTTTTAGCTAACCACCTCAGCTTTTCAAAGTCTCTTTACTCTTTATCTCGATCAAAAATTAATACTAACAAGTCTGAAAAATTATGCTCCCTGAACATGTAAAAATCAAGGTTGCCTGTTGAGCTTCTTTTTTTTTGGGGGGGGGAGGGGGGAAATGTTAAAAGCACTAATGGTTTTACGTAAATGATAACAAAAATTCTTTCAGCACAGACTGTTTTAAAAAAGACTGAGATTTTGTGTCAACCTCTAATAAAAGGACAATCAATCTCTGTGCTACTGCAACTTAAAAGAGAGAAGAAAAAATAAGTTATCAAAAATTGTCTGATAGACAGTGATTCATTTAACAAAATTTCCAAATTCACAATATCTCATACCAAACATTTTTGAAAATTAGAAGAAGAAAAAATAAGCCAAAACAAGAACGGCACAAACTACCTAGAGAAACCAGCACAGAGAATTTTCACAAGGAAACAAACGATGCATAGTATAGGTGCAAATGTAACATTTTAAGCCCACTGTGCACTGATAATTTAATTACATACTTTTAACAGTTGTTTGTAAAGTAAGTATAACATATGAAAATGGCTGACATACAGCTATGTGAAATTTCAGAGCTAATTCTGAGAGTCTTCAGCACCCCAAAAAGTACGTAATTTTTCCATAAAGAGCTAGGATTTTAAGTGTGCTAGTGCTGTCAGGAGCATAATCTTAAGAAAACCACCACCCAACCAACTCACCATAAAACACAAAGAGGGAAGAAAGTGCAAGCGCATTGCCAAGAAATAATCGAAGTCAGTGGAAAAGCAACAGTGTCTGAGAAATCTACTGCACTATCAAAAGTACTATCATCTCTGTTTGCTCATTAAAAAAATTACTAAAAAGACACATTATTATTCTAGGAACCTCTTGATTCCTTATTACTAAAAAGAGACATTCAGAAATTCCCATATTCTTATGGGGGAGCAGGAGGTAGACAGTAGAATATTTCACTTGGAACGTTCTGAATAAAGAAAAGACTAACAAGACAAACTAACAGTACTGCCATCAAAAAAAGTTTGCCTTGGTTTCCTTTTCTTCTCCTCTTCCCTGGCAATAAGGGAACTTCTTTGAGTATCCATTTTATACAGGCATTAAGCATCTTCAATATATGGCACCTTTTTTTTTTTTTAAGGAAGAGGAAGCTACTTAAATCTTGGATAAAAGAACAATTAAAAGATGAAGTGTCAAAATCAGCATTCATGTTGAGGCTCTGTGGCGTGTTCTGGACACCCTCTGAGCTATGTGAGGCATTAATTGAACATAGTACAGCTCAGTTCAACCAACATCATACCTGCATGCCCTCTGATCATCATCCTGCTCCTTCTCACATTTAGATTTCTGCACTAATCCATGACTTCCTAAGAAGATGTTACCCTGATTAGTCAAACTGCTTAACAACCACCCAGGAACTGCATTAGTGTGTTTTTAATATAATACTGTGGTCTTCCCTACAACGGTTAATTAGAATATGATTCTAACTAACGGCAGTGTGCAGAAGGTGCCATACTGTTCCTTCTCTCTAAGGGGGGTCTGCCACTCCCTCTTTTGAATGTTCATTATCATCTTTTATATCTGCTTGATAAATTTATTAAAAATACCATCTGGTAGGGACTCTGCTCTGTTCTGTATTTTCAAGTCTTCTGGTTCTCTTCATTTTTCCCATTAGAATTTCTGCTTCAATTTAGTTCACTTGTTTACAAACACACACTGCCAAAACCAACAGTTTTGTTCCTATTTTTCCCTTTTTTTCTTTTGTCCACCAGCTATCCAGCTTTTACAGTAACCAATGTTGTAAGAGAAAACGAAACAGGGGATTACAAATGCAGAAATTCTTATTTTCCACTGCTCATACAGCAGTTTCACTGTGATAAGTCTGGTTCACTTTTATGGAACAGAAAGGATGCGTATTAGCAAAGCATACACATTCTGCAAGCAAACAAAAGGAGGAGATGATTGAGGTTACAGGACAGGAGCATCAAAATATTTATTAAGACTTCCTTTCCTGTCTCCTAGTCTTACACTACACTATGAAGCAATGAACAGCTTGGCAGTATATTTAATTCTAGGAATAGTATTCTTATAAAGGATTGTCATTTTCAAGGCATGGCCTAAGGGCCAACTATACTGGCTATATTTAAAGATAAGACAGATACGTTATTCAACTGTCCTTAGAGATCCCGCAGGAGAAAAATGTACTAGGAGCGTGCAGTAGTCTCAGTCATATTTATTTATCACTCATTAGGCTTTTCATTTTCCTTCTTCTTCTCCTTAATTTTTAGAACACTTGATTTTCCATAGGACCTTTTTTTCCCCCTGAAGTACTCAGAAAAAAAAAATAAATGCAGTATCTGAGTGTAAAATACTTCCTCTGATCTCCCAGTCTGCACAGGTCAGGTTTTGCTTTCTGTCCATCCCCTGTAACTTCACTGCAATCAGTTGGTTAACATGGCAGGGCAGGAGGTGGGAATTACAGAAAATCCTCAAACAACTCTTTGTAACACAGGAAGGAACAAAATGGAGCGGATTCCTGCACCAGCTCACAAAACCAGCATTAATGTACCTTAATTCAGTTACTAAAATAAACATACAGAGAAACAGCAGATCTACTAAGTAGTCTTATTTTAAACGAAGGCAGCAACTTAAAGTATTATGGACTGTTGAACATATTTATACTGCACTCTAGGCAACAGTCAGTCAAAAGTTCTCAGCTCAAATGTCATCACTGCAAAACAACTGTTCATTTTACTGAATTCTCTTAAGGCACTTATGAAATCATAACCATAAAGAAAGAAATATATTTTCTTTATTATTTAATTTACTATGTTTAATCAGTACGAAGAAGTGATTTTTCTCTCCTGCTGACATCTGTTAAATGCTCAGCTTTCAATTGCTCCGTTTTTCATTGCAAAATCATGTTCCTTCTCTACCTGACCATCTACTGAACTGACAGAAGTTTCCTGTCTAGAAAGTGACAATTAGAAAAAAGCAAGCAGAGAGAGAGAAAAGAAACCATAACAAACCCCACAACAAAACCAAACACAAAAACCCCTTCCCACAACAAAAAGACTTAAGTATGTCAGAATTATCCTAGGGCTTGCTTTTATTGTATTAAATAATTAAAAGAATGTTGGGCATTCTGCTTTCATTGTTTTCCACATGCTAAAAGATTTAAGTCTAATCTTTAATTAGTATATGAATTAGCACTTGTTTATTTGCTACATGGCAGAAAATACTAAGTTTATAGACTTTTCAGTTAACTAAAAATACAAAGTCCCCATACACTTTATTTTCTTGAGATGAAACTTGCTGATGACATTGCTACATTTTATTTGAATCTTCAATCAAGAAATATCAAATTCAAACAAATACCAACAGTATTTCCACCTGTTTCAGTGAAAAGCTTTCTGCAAGCCATATTTAGCTGGAAAAGAAAACTCGTTTGTCTATGTCCAATTGTTAGTTTTTAATCAAATAACCTCAGAGAAGTCTGATTTTTCAGTTGACAGCTGCTAGTGTTTGTGATTTCTGATCCAATAAATTAGAACAAAGGCAATTAGGTCATAAGAATTAGCCATACTTTTAATTCGCTAGCTACAGGGCTCTTTCATTAAACATTCTGCCTGAAGAATGCTCTCAGAAATAGCAATTGTTTCAGAAGAGCCCTAGAAAGTACACATCCCTCATTGCAGCACTGGAAATAGGACGAAAAGATAAAGGGGGGAGGAAAGAAACCCAGTAACTGATACAGATTTCTGTTGAAGAATGGGTAACAGTAGCTAAACCGACCATGTGGCTGTCCTTTCCCACAGAAAGAGGAAAAGAAAAAATCCTTGCAGTATTAGATCATCTTCAAATTTTCATAATCTCCTAAGGCTATGCTTGCAGGAGAGCTGACTTACACTGCTGGCTAAACCTACATGGTTTCAAAAGAAGGCTAACCTTTAAAAAATGAGAAGAAACAAAATATGATAGCTTTATGTGAAGTCAACATTAAACTAGATGCAAAAAATAGCATCTCTCACTGCTTCCTTGGAGAGACATAAGCAGTCTTTTACAAAGCTGAACCACACACTAGGAAACTGATAGGACTGGTTTCTCTCTGTTACATATTTTATTATTATTTTTTTTAAATAACTGCCAGAGGTAAAAGCCAAGTGAATGATTATTTATTCATTTCATTTTTTCTCTTTTAAAACAAGTTCCGAGGCATTGGACAGCACACAAATGAAGGTTCATAATGATTCATAAGTACTAAACAGCATTCCCCAGAGGGTGACCAAGGACATTCCAGTGTTTTATATCCATCTCCTGCTCTTCAGTCATTATTCACTGTTCTCCTTTCATATGCAATGTACAAGTTACAAGATAGTCTGATAGACTGAGACAGAGTACAGATAAACACAACTTCATATAAAAGCTTTTCACATTGCAGTCCCTATGACCTTAACCAGGCTCAAAATAGGATGGTAGGCTGGTCAAGTGACAAGCCTGCATAGTCCCTGACTGCCCCACAGCACCAAGTACTAATTAAAGGACTAAGCGAAGTTATACATTTTTTTCCTTTGAGGCAGAAAAAGAGGAATTGGTTCCTCTATTTAGGTGAAAAAACCCCAAACCCAAACCAAGCAAAATCACAAGCCCCTTCCCACCCCCAAAAAACCCCCAAACCAAAAGTGGCATTACACAGAAGCAGCCCCTGATCCACTGCTGCAGCTTCTTGTCACTGAGTAGGTTTGATGCTTTTACAAAACAGCACATCACACTGGATACTGCTTCAGCTTCCAAAGGAGTAAGTCTCTAGCTTGTGAAAATGTTCGTTTGTTTTGGATTCGAGATTAAATATTAATGACTAAAGGCCATTCAAAATTTCAGAAGTGGAAGTTCACTAAAAGCAAACACTACACTTTCAAGATGTAAAATATATTTACATCCCTGTTAAATAAAGTGGTTACATCAATCTCATGAAACGAGTAAGTTATCAGTGCTACATACTTACACATTTAGAGATAATACTATGTCGAAAGGAAAATGACGTCTCAACCCCAACGTCTGTGTTAGGGAATAATGAGTGAATCAATTTCTATCACCTCATTTTACAAGACAACCAAGGGTAAACCAATACTAGAACACCAGACAGTGTTAAAAAGAGCATTTCCTGCTATGTTTACTTCAAAACTGCTTCTCAACTACCAATGGGTCATGTCAGTACTGCATACAGTATTGTACAAAGTAACTGTATAAATCATCTTCCATATTAACTTCTAAATGTAATACGTCAAGTCAACAACTTGTCATGAAAACCTTACATGTAAAACCACATGAACATAAAATTGCTGTTATCAGGAAACAGTGCTTCATTTTTATTATTTGTTTACCAGCCTTCTAATCTTCACTTTACAGTGACAGCCATTACATAGATACTATGTATCAGTAGTAATACATCTGATAAATTACTTCCTTTGTATATACAGCTTTCTGACCAAGTTGAATAGGTTTCACAAAAATTAAATAAATAACTGCCTTAAATCTCCATTTAAGACCCCTGAACAAATATCTCTGTGGCCTTATTTCTTTGGAATGAGGTTTCAAATGACAAACTCATTGCATGTTATCTTCAGTGTTGTTTTGGTAGAACTAAGGGTCACGAAGTCCTTCTGAAAGGACCATATGGCTTTCAAGGGCTTTCCAACATTTCATTTTCTTAATAAAACAGATTATAGATACAGCAGCTGCGTTTCTTCCAACCTAATCTAATACCACATGTGATACCATCCGGGATAAAGACTGAATCAATAGTTTTACCTAATACTGCTTTTCAACGGTTGAGGATGAAAGCTTCCACACAGCCAAGCTTTAAAGCAACATAGTCTGATAACTGCATTTTGACATATTTTGTGGAGCTTTCCGAAGTGCTTTCACAGTTCACTTTACTCTATCTGGCCAGTGCAGAAATAGAAAGAAACATTGCAAATCCTCATTAGAGCAATAGAACAGATCTGTGCCAACTACCCCATTGGTAGTCATACAGATTTTTTTACAGAAGAGAAACTGAGATAGCCTGCTTGTTCAAGGAAACCAGACAACATTGTTACATGCTTACAGTAACAATCACAGCTATGTAAAACAAAGCACTACATGGACAGAAGGTCACCTGCTGTATCAGAGCTGCTGAGAACATTTTTGAATAGGTAATACTGATGGTCATAAATTCTGGTGGAACAGCTATTGTACCCTGCACCATTTCATGACTAGACTGGCCACAACTAGTTCCCAGATCTTTCAATTTGCCCCTTTCTCACCATAAATTCTGCAGTGTCATACATATATATCCAACTGTTGCTGCCTTATTTACTATTGGAGATTGGTCTATACCCCTCTTTCAATTAACTACTCACTGAATTCTCTTTTAATTTCCTACCAATTGCATTAGCTACCATCCCTTCAGTATAAAAAGCTATAAAGCCCTATGGGCCTCACTTTGCTTCCTGTAGATCACTTCAAATGACTCAGGTACAACAGCTTGATTAACCATACTGAATGACAGCATAGTTCCACTGATAACTACGAACAACAATGGATACTTACTATTATGTAGTCCAAACCCTACTTCCCTGCAAGATTCTGTAACTATTTTCATAAACACATAGATTTTAACTAAGCCATATAAAGTCTTCATCCCCTAGGTTATCTTTAAAACACATGAAATGCTGAAATACACCAAAGAGTTTGTCTCACCAAAATGCTCACTAAGCCACAAAATATCACTGAGTATCTGAGACACAAGTCAATTATGGTACAAGTACACTTCATGAACATACACAGATTCACTACTTTTAACTACTGTTATGACCAAACAATCTTTAAGTTAACACAAGGAAGAAAAAAAAGAAGAAAGCAAATACATACTTGTGTCCTAAATTAAGTATTTGCTAAGTAAGATGGATAATCTTAAACCAAATACATATAGATCTATGCACCACTTATTTGCTCACAGTAACTCTGATTTTGTACAAAGTTTTTAAAAATTCATAGCTGGCAGTGATAAATATGAAATTTAGCTCAAAGGTTTTAATAAACTTGAATATTTTGTTTCTGCACTAGCTAGCTTACTAGAGTAGATGCTTTCTTTAAACGCAGTTCTTCCTTAACGTTCGTTCTATTTTCTTGTCAAAAGCAATCGCAATACTATTTGCAAACTCCCTAAAATAAAAGGAAAACTTCTATTTGTATTAAGGGACAGCTTAACATTTTGGGACTACATAACACAAAAACTAGTCAAGTGGGATTTGTCAGGCTACTTATTCTATGCTTAAAAAAAAAATAAATCATTAAATTACACAGCAAACCTCATGATATCAGCTGTAACCATACGATGCCTTTGTGTAACACATGGGGCATGGGCTGAAGGAACTGGTCCTCAGTTTTTCACAGCTGAGTATTACAGTTTTCTCAGAAAAAAAAAAAGGAAAAAAAAAGAAAAGAAAAATGTCTTACTGGTATCTTCTCTCTCATTCTTTTTTGAAAACTGTATTCTTTCCCATCTATTTTACGTGCCAAATTAAAATCTAAATATATGTTTAAAACCAGCATGAACTTAGGAATGTTGCTGGAATTCTCAATTTCATGCCAGAAAAAACTGTGGGAAACCCTCACCTAGACAACTACTGAAAGGGGCACAAAACTCTTCCCAGTGATCTCAGGATCTCAGTTGCATGAGTTTATATAGAAGAAAGCACAGAAATCAATCTGTTTGGACTACTAAAAAGAAGATATTAAACCTTACTTTGACATAGTTTATCATTCAGTATTGTTGGTCTCTTGGGGATTTATACCTCAAGTAATGCAGCACTATGTAGAGGTACTTAAATCAGTATTATATAAACTGTTCAGCTCTCCAGAGGTAACAGAGCTCCATCAATGTGGTGCTCTGAGAACAAGGGCAGCCAATATAACGTTCTGCCATGGTTATGTGTGTCTATGACTCTTTGGGGGAAAATCAACACCTGAGAGTTTACTTTCAGCAGCTGAAACTAGGCTGTATAGGAGTCCCTAAATGCCTAAATCCATCTTCACTGCAATAAATAGCTCTGGTTTACTCCATCCTCATTACAGAACTCAAGGTAACCTAGTGGGAGGCAAGAGCAATGACATGCAAAGAAAAATCAGATTAGCAGCACAGAGTGACTCAATTACCAATGACTTTGTCAGCAGTAGTTGATTTACTTTGAACTTTAGCATTCCTGCAGCATCACTAATTAATCCACAGAACTGGAATTTCAAAGAAGTCACAAGAACAAGCCAACCAATTCTATGCTTACAGCATCACTTAACTCAAATTAGAGACTTCTGTGTGGGAAAAGCAGTAGAGTAGGAGTGTGGTGATGGCCAGTCTTAAAAGGCAAGCATTTTCAACAGTTCATGTCTAAAAGAACAGTTTTATCTCTTACCTATCAGACCTTTCTCAAGAGTAAACGTTTTGTTCGTGAACATGCATTCAAATGCCACAATGTGGAAAACTTTGTTCACTGTGTTGTGGGTCCCAACAATTCGAATATACCTACAGAGAAAAGAAAAAAAATAAAATGTAAGTAGCGTGGGTTAAGCAAGACAAACTTCTATGCACTAAAATACAAATGAATCGGTTGGACTGTATTGTGCGCATCTGTAAGAACTGAGTAACTGTTAAAAAATAAAATAAGAAAAGGAGTTAAAAGCATATAAAATTCACAGCAAACTTCCATCTACTAAGGATGCTGTCTCTAGTATGATTTAAGAAAAAAAACCAACATAGTTAAAGAGTTGTGACATCTATCAAAAATATCTTTTTGGACTACTTTGCCAAAAAAAGCAAAATGAGGGACCTACTGGTTCAGAAATGGTCTGTTAGTGCAAATGTGTGCTCATGGAAGCTTTAAATAACAATAATAATTCCCTTTATCAACTACTCTGCACCAGAATGAAAGATTTCATACAGGCAGAACAACCCCAACAAATCAGCAAGGCTTCTCTGCAGAAGCCAAAAATTAATTCCATTTCAACATGACTGTTTCTAATTCTAACACTGGATATAGAGGGTATCAATGTCTTTGCTGGTATATCCTTTATTAATAACAAAAAAATAATTCTGATCAGTCAAGTGTTACGAAACAGAGCTAGCTCTGGGTTCCATTTCTGGTTATATAACTTGTACTTCTAGACTCTAATTGAAAATCAAATAGAGCTGCTCTTGAACACTGTAACCTATTCACCTTCAGTATTACTCTGGAGGCTTCACCTTCTATAAACAGCCATTAACCTCTGATTCAGTCTGATTCAGCCAATTTCTGAAGAGATTCAACAGTTCTTACTATAAATTTTGAAAAATCCTAAATGGAATGTTGTACACCATCTCAATAAATGTTGAACAAGCAACAGAGAAAACTACCTAAACCAAATATCATTACCCCATAAAATGGGCTACCCACACCACAGAAAATTTTGTATTAAATGAATTCATTTCAATTAAGAAGTATTAGGATGTATGAACCTTAATATCCTCAGTCTGCTGTATAAAACAACCTTTCAGTTATATAAGATAATTATAATTCCAACATAATGGCCATTCACCAACAGCATCATTTTGGCTTATGTTCTTCATCATACCAAGTTGAAAAGATACACAGCTTTCAGTCCTGAGATTTTTTTTATAGACAATAAAATCCTCATAGCTCTTTACTAATGTTCAACCTCCTCCTATACTTCACTTTAGTGCCTTATGAAAGACCTCTTAAAAGGAAGCTTCAATGACTGTTATTACTGATACTCATTTGTCTTTACTATGCATAAAAAAAATCCACCCATTACATGCAAATGACTGCAAAACACAACTAAGTTACCTGAATATCACCACTAAAATTGCCAATGTTTTTGACCACTGCTCCTGTAAGCTTATGAATAACTTAACTTAAAAAAGCAATTACTATATATTTTGATTAAAATTATAAAACTGATATACAATATGCTCAAAATTTCACTTAAAAATATTTTAATTATCATGACTTGAAACAAAGAAGAATGATAAGCTATTCCATATTGAATATTATCTCACAGATCTATTAACTATCACAGTAGCAAATTTCTTGCAAGTAGGAATGTAGAAAAATTTCTATATAGAAAAATGAAAAGTGGCAAAACTGAAGAAAATACTTATTTTTCATAAAGAAGGCAAAGCTATATTTAGGGCTAAAGCAGAAGTGTTCCCTCACTATGTAACTGTGACGAGTGCCTGCAAAAAGTACCACAGGAATCTTTGCTGAGAGTCAGAGAAACAGCATTTTATTTTTCCCCAGACCTGCCCATGTCAGTTGCTGAAAAAGGTTGTATGTGAAATGCCACATTTCGGGATTCACATTATGAAGGCAGAACTCTACCAGCCTCAGTTTTTCATAACATGATGAGGTTATTGCACTGCTTTTCAAGTGGCACACAGCCAGGTACAGCCATAGCAAAAGCATGGTGGATACACAGGAGCAAGACCCCAAGGTTTCTGCTCACAAAGCTGACCTAGCAAAGCTGGCACTGAAAATCCACTGACAAGATTATAATCAAATTATTCAGAGGACTAAGATTTTGTTGTTCAGAGAAAGTTAACCTGAAATTTGAAAGAAGCTTTTAGGAGGTCTAACAGACATCTTCAGCTGATGTATGCCTCCTCCTTGAAGGCACAGATGCATTTAGTTCAGTCTTTTCAGATTATTTTCTTTCTGTCAATTCACAAATACAGTAGGAACCCTAAACACACAGGCAACGACCAGGATTCAGCAACAGTAAACGTTCTCATTCTATGCAGTATCAGAAGCACAGAACTGAACTGAACACAGGAGTAATCTTGGAATGTTTCTAAGCACATGCAGAGGCTGGCTCGCCACTGAGACTCCCTGTCTCCCTCAGACAAGAAAGGTATTGATTGAGCTGTGCTGCTTGGACAAAACCAGCTCCAGGCTAACCAACAGAGCATTACTAATGGAGATATTTTGACATGCTTCAGTTATGCTTCCTTGCTTTAAAGAGTTTAGAGAATAAACAAAGTAATAATATTACTAGAAACACAAGAAACTGCTTCATAATTACTTATAAAAGCTAATTTATTTAGGTTGGGGGTTTTCTGGTTTGTTTTGTTTGTTTTTTTTTTTTTTGTTTGTGTGTGTTATGAAATTGTGACACTGGTGCAAAGCTCTTGATTGTTTTTGGCTTTTATAGTTTGGGGTTTTTTGAAATATACCGAGAAGGTGAAAGACACACAAGACTGGAATAGTTTGCCATGGGAAAAGCATCTTTATCATACCACACACTTAGGTTAAATAACGTATCACCCGCAGGTTAGCAAAGTTCTCTGCCAACAGGTAGAAAGGCACAAAGCTTATTCTTGTATGCTAAATAGCCTACCAGTTATTTTGAACAATAGGTGACAATGATTCACATTGCTGGACAGCTGAAATTTTATTGTAATATAAAACAAAATCCCACCCATTAAAATAATAATGTATACATTGATCTTCTGAAGCATATTATTTCCATGTAATATTATTGCAAGGTAGAACATAATGATATGACAAACCCCATCCTTTCTCCCCAGTACAATACATATATTTTATTCTTTCCTTATCTCTCTGAAGGTGAATGATCAGCATGATTTCCTGCCTGAATCTTCTACTTGGTGGAAATTAAAACTAATGCAATCTTCAAAATTACTTTAAACACTCTAACTTCTAAAATCAAATTCTTGGATTTTGCACAGAAATTGTAGTTTATTATTCCATTTGATGCAAGATACTAAAGACTCCATAGCCTGAGATTGTAGAGATAATCTTCCTTCAAGGCAGAATTTATTAGAAATGCCTAGTACCACCAGGTAAACAAGCCATATCTGAACTTCAAATATCACCAATGAAGAGCAGTATTGAACGTACATAACCTGTTTCAGAAAAGTGAAATGAAGACATTGTAAATACTGTAGCAGTACATCTTAATGAGGAGAACACTAAACAATAGGCTAAAATCAAAGAGTTGACTCAGAAATAATAATAATCATTATAATAATACCACAAAGATAGAAACTCTGGAATATATTAAGCACAGATTCCAATCCCTTGTGAATATTAAGAAAGAAGACTAAGTAAGGAGAGGTAAAGGAAATTAACTGGTATTTTGCACTGATATCCACTACAAGTTGCTATTAAAGCAACCCAGAAGAGCAACAGCAAACTAAAATCACTAAATCCAGTATGTGCAAACCCAACTCTAAAGAACTTGGCATTTAATGTTCCTTTGTGGAGCACGTGGTACGATTGACCAGTGCTAGTCCTACGTATTTCTATCTCCTCTAACTACTTGGAAACTGCTAACATTCACATTCTGATCACTGCCACTGAGATGCATGAGATACAGTCCCCCACAAAAGGGCATTAGAAGACGTTCTGTTTCCCTTCTAGTGGAAAAGGAAACAGTGCTATTCACCACCATCTAAACTCCATTTATTGACAACTCCGTAAAACATATAATCCTTCAGACTCACACAGCTGAATCAACAGACGCATGGCAACAAGACAGAAAAAAAAAGCAAGGAGGAAAAAATCTATTAAATCTATTAAATCATGTAGAAAAACAGTAGCTATAAGTAAATATATAAACTAAACAATTAAACAAGAACAAACATGGAAAGCATCTCTTTTGACAGGAGACAAATATTCCTGCATTTAGATGAAAAAGTCTAATAGAGTTTATTTCATACCAAAGGAAACCCCTGCTGCAAATATAGAAAACAGTGATAAATCAAAACACGCAAGATGAGACCATAGAATGGTTTGGCTTGGAAGTGATCTTTAAGATCATCTAGCTCCAATCCCCCTGCCACAGGCAGAGATGCCTTCCACTAGACCAGGCTGCTCAAAGCCCCATACAACCTGGCCTTGAACACTGCCAGGGATGGGGCAGCTTCTATGGGTGACCTGTTCCAGTGCCTCATCCCCTCATGGCGAGCAATTTCTTCCTAATGTCTAATTTGAATCTACTCTCTTTCAGTTTAAAGCCACACCCCCTTGTCCTACCGCTACATGCCCCTGTAAAAAGTCTCTCCAGATTTCTTATAGGCCCCCTTTAGGTACTGGAAGATTGCTATAAGGCTCTCTTCTCAAGGCAGAAGAAGCCCAACTCACTGACCTCTAGTAGGAAAAGCATACACCTGCAAATCTTGTAGAGGAACAAATATTTTCACCTTTGAAATTCATGCAAATACAAGAAACAGTGTAGCAATTTGAAAGCAAAACCATTTCTCTTTGTAATTTGTAAAATGCGTATCCAGGTATTCTATGCTGCAGCATTCAAGAAGTTAAAACTATTGATATACAATAATTACACAGTATATATAATTGCTTGTGTACTGCATATAAGCAGCATACCATGTTTCTGAACAAATGCTTCTGATGTGCATGGGAACATAAGTAACATTGTAGGATCTGATAATATATTTGTATTCCATATGTAAGAATGAGTTTTAAAATAGTAAGTTTTTTCAAGTTT